TGAAGGCGAAGAGGATGGTGATGTTCAACGCGGTCGTCACGTCCCGCGAGCCCAGCCTGTGACAAAGGCTCTCTGGGCCGTAAAATATCACAAGGGCGGTGGCGATGGAGAGGAGGAAGGTGAAGTTGGTGACAGCCAGGCTCAGGACGTAGGCGGTGATGGGGTTCCTGCGGACGCCGGAGCTGAGGAACCAGAGGACGGCCCCGTTCCCCACCAGCCCGCAGAGGCAGATGAGCAGCGTGACAGGGACTTTGCTCAAGTGACCGGCGTCACAGTCGGTGCAGTTGTAGTCATCGTCCTCGTGCCTCAGCAGCCGGTGATGCCAAGTCCTGTTCCACGCCGTCCCACCGGGCTGGCTCCAGCAAGCAGGGCTGGCTCTTTCCATGGCAGGGAGCGATGTGCTCCTTACGAAACCTCTGCTGCTTCTCCTTCCCCCTCACACAGCTGGAGGGACGAGGTGAAAGAGGGACAAGATGAAAGAGGGACGCGTTAGCAGCTCTGCTGTCTCCCACGCCAGGCTTTTCAGACCTTTGCGGACATGCCCCAGCTTCCACGTGGAGGAGGACAGAGCGAAACGACTGACAGGAGAGACGGAAGACGGGATGTGGGGAGATGGGTATGAAACGCCCGGTACCAGAGCATGTGGAGCAAAAGCTAGGGAGGTGCCTCCTTCCTGGCGTTGGACAGGGCAGGTCTGGGGGAGAGAAATAATAAGATGAAAGGATTGTCCTTGGAGATGTCAAAGAGCAAGTGGGTTTGGGGGTGGGATGTCATCGGGATTCTCAGGTGTCTAATTTCATGGTTGATCTTACTAAGCTGCTGGGTTCCTTCCGTGGGACACTCATTTCAGTATTCCCCTACAACCTTTCTCCACAATATTTATAGGTCTTAACATCCTAGAGACTACCATTGCCCAATCAGATTTGGTGCAAATTGACAAACAGGTTCAAAACCAGTGAGGGGAGGCACTGAGTAGGCCAAAAAAAACCAAAAACCAAACTAGAAAAGCCTGACCTCCTTTCCTCTGGAGCCTGGAGAACTTCACTGGAGCAGGCGCGTTGCAGACTTACACCACCTCGTGCTCGCCGGCTGCTGCCCGCGTGATGGGATCTTCGTCAGGTTTCCTGGAATTGCCACTTGGAAAACTAGACCAAAGCCTGCCTTGGTGAGCCCGTGCAGCGTCCAGCGTGGGGTCTTTCTCAGGTCCTTTCACAAACCGCTTTCCACAGCGTTAGCCACGCAGGTCGTGTTCTCAAGTGTTCTTGCAAACAGGGCACTGCTTCACAGCATCAGGGTTCTGGTTATAATCTATTCTTGGCTTTGTACAGGAAATGACTCACAAAAAAGAGTCTCAGAAACTGGACCTATGGGAAAAGCAGATTGTCTCCGTGTCAGGTTCCTCTTTCGTTTCATTTTAAAGCAACCCCAATCCCAAAAATATTCGTATCTTTGGACTGGCTGAACTTTTCTCCTACCGTTCCAGGGACCCGGCGCTACAAGCTCGACGTGGCTCCAGAACGTCTATTTCTGATTCAGATCCAGGTTTGCTGCTTGTGTACCACGACGTCACGGTGATACGTGACCTTCAAACACCCAGTTTCCAGGAGCGTGCTACTACGTGCATGGAGGAGCTAAACGAATAATAAGATCTGTGCGTCAACCAGAGACGACATGGAGAGACGGCTTAGGATTTCAGCAGAAATCCTGAAATTTGCCTTTTTTTTCCCTAAGGAGAGGTGAATCGGTGCTGCTCACTGGGCTATAGCCATCTAAAAGTCAAGGGTTTCATCCCAGTTGTCTCCTACACTCCCTTTGTAGTCAGCCAGCAGCCTACAGTGGTTTTCCCAGACAGGCCCACCTAAGTTCTGGAGAGCTGAAGATGATGATGGAGATGGTTCCTACCCAGGCTGACCGCGAGGAGGGTGAAGTGCAAACCCCTCCCGTCGCATCTGGGGGCGAGGGGTGCTCCCATCCCCTCACCAAGCCAACCCTTCCAAGTGCAAGCAGGGCGCGGGGAGGAAAGCGTGGAGGTGGACCGGCGTACTGCCGCGCGACACGCCGCGCGCCGCGCCATCGACCCGTGCGCTCTGCAGGAGGAGTGACCCAGGGCTTCTCAGCCTCTGCTTTTGCGGGCGGCATCCCGAGCCTGTTCCCCCAGAGCTGTATTCCCGAGGCGAGATTCACACAGCTGGGTGGCTTGTTCGTGGCGGGGTTAGGCTCGTATCTGCTCGAAGGAAGCTGCCTTCCGTAAAGGTTATTTACTGCTTCCCTGGTAGCAGTTGTTTCTGTGCGTCGGGAAAGCCGATAAAACCACCCGCCGGGC